GCACGATGCCTGCCAGGTAGACACGGGGGTCTCGCCCACCTGAGGGGAAAAGTGGTCCTCGGCCCACAGGTTCCTAAGCAAGACAAAAGTTATAGCCCGAACGGATGCGTTCATTTTGGTGAGGCGCTAGAGATTCTAGATGAGGGCCTCAACAAAATAACACAATCGGAGAGAGATCAAAGTTACCCAAACCTAAGAAATCTAAACTGCAGGAAATGTCCCCAATGTCTACACCGGAAACTCCACCTGATTCAGGGTTTCCTGTAAGCCCAGGCAATTGATCAACTATTGAAGTGATGGGTAAAGCAACACAAACGAAGCAATTCTTGACTTCTGGAGGGGCTGGAGAATTGGAGTCCGCCATGTTGGGGTGGGGAGGAGAAGCTGCAGCTTGCCGGGGAGTATGACCCAGATGATTTGTGAGAAAGAAGTTTTAAGAACTCATATCAACCCTAATATGAGGTTTTTCGCCTGGGAAAGCAAACTATGTCAGGCTCTCTGTCAGAGTCGGTACTTCTATCTCATGAAAACAGGGCACTGGCATGGGACACACACCAACTGTGGTATTAGGACCGAAATATAACCAAGGCCCCATTATTGATGAGACATTTTCGAGCCTACAGTGTGCCAAGCTCTCCATCGAGGGGCTGGGGGTTAGAGGGGAAACAAAAAGAGGGAAGCAGGGCTCTTCCATTGAAGACTTTGTGGGCTTTGTTCTTATAAGGTAAATCATATCAGCATTTTCCCTTCAGTTCCTTGACAACCTTTGTCTCTTTTTGAATGGTTTCTTCAGAAACCTCAGCTGTACCCCTAGCTCAACAGTCATAAAAAGGTTGTATGTAAAGTGAAACCATGATCTGTAAGCTTCAAGTTAAAAGCAAAAACAAGAGATCATTTTGATTCAGTAAGACAATAACAGCCAACATTTACCAAGAGTTTTACAAAATGTCATGCTTTCTCCCAATTAATTCCCATAACAACCTCCCATACAGTAGATAGTATGATCCCTATCTTTGAGATAAGAATACTGAAGCACAGTTAGCCTAAGGCCACACAGCTAGTAAGTGGTAGAGTTAAAAGGAAGGTTGTGGCCTGAAATATCTGAGTAATTATCTCAATTCTACTTTGCAATGTAGATACAGCGTAATTGTCTACAGGATCAAGATCATCGAGATAAAAATTTCCCTCTCTGAATTTTGAATAATACAACAATTAGCACTACAGATATTAACCCTAACTCCCCCCCCCCCTCCGCCACCCCGCAAAGAGTCTGCATTTTTTGCAAACAACTAACCTGTTTTCTCTCTTGCAGGGTGACTCAGGTGGCCCCTTGGTGTGTATGAAGGACAACCGCATGACTCTGGTTGGCATCATCAGTTGGGGCATTGGCTGTGGGCAGAAAGATGTTCCTGGTATATATACCAAGGTTATTAATTACCTAGACTGGATTCAAAACAATATGCGACTGTGACCAAGGACATCCAGTTCCCTGAAATCACGGGAGACCCTACTTCCTCTACTTCAGAAGATACACTAAGGCGGAGTGCTTCTTTATAGAGCTGAGCCATCACACAGTACAAGTGGATGGCAGGGCAGGGGGAACCCATAGGAGAGGGGAGAGGATAGGTTTTAATAGGTACTTCCCATTTTAGAAGTTTTCAGGGGTTAAGATCTGATTTCAGAATATAGTTTGTCAGCCGAGAAGACAGATAAACGCCAACCCCTCCTGGAATACCACCATCTAAGGCAGAAGAGAGGGAGAAGAGAAGCCCAACCTCCTGATCTGTCACCACGAGCAGCTTTGGAAATGGGACCACAAAGATAAAAGCATGTCTCAATAGTAAAAAAGTAACTAGATCCTTCAGGAAGGAAGGATTGCATTAGAAATGGAATGTCTGTCTATAGTCACAAGGAAGCCCAACAGGCGCCTCCTAATAAGGGATGGTCTGGCTGGCCAGGTCACGTTTCTCAACACCACCTTTTAAATCAAGTATTTGGCTTTTCCCTTTCTCCACTTTACAGCTCTTGGAAGGAAATCTTTTTGTGTATAGTGTAAATCTTTTTTTCTTTATAATAAAACAGGAGACTTGTATCATTTTAGTAACTGGTAAACTAGGCTTTAGTATATTTATATCAATCCATTTTAGTTTTTACTTTGTTGCCACAGCCCTGTATTATACTGTGCTGAAATAATAAATTCAGATTATTTTTCACATATTTTCCCAAATCAGAGTGGGATAATTTTGTTACACTTGCAGTATCTCACAGCTCATTTATTCTTGTTACTCATGGTCACATTTTAAAAATCATCTCAAGTATTTCCTTTCATTCATTTGGCATATACAGAATACTCGCTGCATACAAGGCAACGTGCTAGGTGCTGCAGACAGTAAAAAGGGGGAGAGAGGCAGTTCTCGGTTTGACAGGAAAATAAGATAAAGAAATACCCAGGTAGAACAGAGACAGGTCACAAAAACGGCAGAGAGAAACTTTTACTTTTCAGTTGCAGGAAGTAAGAGGGAATCTTAAGGAAAAACAGAAGTAGGGCCTTCAAAAATTGGGCGAGATCTGGACTGGTGGGGAGGTGTGGGCAAGGCATCCTTGAGACCAGGAATGTCACTGCATGGAAATATAGAGATCTGGAGAGGAAAAAGGGCGGTGGGAGTATGGGGAAGGATTTTGTACAGGTTGTCGGAAGTGAAGGTCATGAAGAGTGTGGGTAGGAACTTAGATTATGGTGCTTTGAATGCCAAACTGAGTTTTGGACTTAATTCTAGAGGCAACAGGGAGCCACTGGGGCTTGTGCGTAAGAGAAGTAATGAACGGAGCATGCCCCAGGGAAAAAGAACCCTGAGGGGGATGGAATGAAAGCAGATGGGTATGCAGACTCCGTGGGCCACAAGCGAGGTAGTAGAAAGGAGAAGCAAGGGGGTACGAAGAACAGAAGCACGACCTTGCTGGCCAGCATAACAATATCCCACTGTTGGTCGGCCTAGAAGCTAGTATTGGCCGTTTTCTTCCCATTCCATTTTCCTTCCCTGTTCGTCTGAAAGAATTAACTCCCAGACCGTGGGGCGCCTGGCTGCCTCAGTCAGAAGAGCATACAGCTCTTGATCTCGAGGTTGTGAGTTCGAGCCCCATGAGGGGTGTAGAGATCATTTAAATAAATAAAACTTAAAAGAAAAAAAACCATGAATTCCCAGACCAGTCCACACTAGTATGCTACTTCAGGATGCTGCTTTCTGCTTCTCCTAGGCTACTTTCTTAACTAGAGCTGCAGCTCCTGTTACCACTGCCACCCCAGATCCAAGAATAAATCTGAGGGGGCTTGCTGTTGGATATATGCAGCAGTTTCCTGGAGAGGAGAAAAGGTGGTTGCAGTTGTCTCTATCTCTTGAAAGGCTGTGAGAACTGCTCAGTTTAGAGGTTCTTAGAAGAAAAGTACATAGTTTCAGCTCACAGAAGAGACTCTAAAGCCCACGAGCTTGAGTTAGAGGGGAGCAAAACCCAAACTTCCCTGAAATCCTCAAGCCCCCGGAGCAGTTAAATAGATGCAGATCACAGAAACTGAAGCCACAGATTCCTCCACCTTAGACCTCTCCCGCACAAGTTTCCCGTGCAAGTGGCAGGTTTTATTTGAGATAGAAGTGTCCCTCGGCCATTTTAGACAAACACTGCTCAAGGACAATAGGCAGGACTCCCAGCGAGCACATCTCTGGCAGGAATTCAGTGGGTTTGCCCCATCCCCTTTGCATGACAAGCCTTTCTTCAGAGACCCGGATGAATGAAATGAACTGAAGCAGCAAGGCCTCCTAGGATGGAAACGCCAAGTGACAGGCCCCAACATTCCTCTGGGTGAGGTCCCGGCAACCACAGACTGGATGAAGACACAAGAGGCCGCGGACCAAGCTGCAAGGCAGAGTCCTGGCCCCGCAGATTCCTTTGAATTACATTGAAATACATTCAAAGAACAACACATCATTATCCGGTGTGGGTTAGGAAATTTAGGATAAAATGTCTGGAACTAGGCAGGCCAGGGAAAGGGTTATAAGGGGGAAATGAAATAGTTCCTTCTCCCCAGCTGGTTAATAAAGCAAATAGACGCTAACAGATCTGAAGGACAAAGATTCTTAGGTAGCTGTGCAATACATTTTAGTGGGTAAAGACTTAGAGGAACTCAGATGATGGAAACTGCTATCCTCCTAGAGCTCCGATCTGAAGTCTGGTTATCAAAAAGAGTGTCATAAATTTTTGGTTTCACGTTTAACTTCAAAAGCCAAAAACTCACCCAATCCCCAGTACTCGGAATCTTGGGGGAAAGTTTAAGAGTTTCAAATTCAATTCTTTTAAAATTCTAACAATTAAAAAAAATTAATCTCATTGCTAGCACTGAGTCACCACCTACTGGCCACAGAGGAAAGTACATGTATTATAAAATGCACCTGGTCACACCACAGCGCAACCAGAACAGCCAGAGCGCGGGAAGACATGTTAACGACCAAGACAGGTAGGATGGAGTATTCATAAATACCAAACACTAGTTCGTAAACAGAAAAAGCCCTAACGTCTTTTCATGGCCACGACGGATTTACCAAAGTATATCAGTACGGATATGGGATAACAACCAGTGTCCATACTTTTTTACAAAGACTGCCCATGACCTATCTTCCATTTCACACCCAAACTGACAAACCTAAGATCAAGAGCGTGGGGAAAGCACCAGAATAGCCATTGGCAGCTTTAATGGCTGGTCTTTAATGGGGAAAAATGACTGATCTTCACCTTTGTTCTTACAACCTGAAAAATGACATTAATGCCAACATCCCCTATTTCCAGAGGTAACGAGAATCATACCATACCTATGGCGTTAGGTCTACTGGTTGAAAAGACACAAGTAGTAAGATCCTCCCGAACTGATTTATTTCTTAGTGCTTCTACCGAGGCCTGTCTGGCATAACACTACTGTTAGTCCCAGTAACAAGACACTTAGGACACAGACGACTGGTAAAACTCAAACTTTATTACGATTTAAACACAGGAGATACTTCCACACATATTAAACACGTATGGAATCAAACAGCTCAACCAAGACGGCCTGCACTTCTTATACTGACACCCTGCTGGGTGGTCGCCGCGATGCTCCACTGGGCTCCAGAGGTCTGCTACGAGGGTGATACATTACTTCACATGCTAAGGCCTGGAGGTCCCATACCCTAGATACTTGATTTCTCCTCAAGTTCTTCCCTTGAAATTAGGATGAACTGTCTGGGAGGAAATATCACAGCTGGATTTACAAACCTAAAAATATCCAGAGACCAAGACTGGTTGTTTTCCTATGACCTAGGAAACCTTAAAATCCTTCAGAGCCCTCAGAAGAAGTAATTCCGAGTATTCTGGAATCACAGGCAGGGCTGTTCCCCTACCCTGCCAGGTATGTATGCAGGGCATAGTCATTCAGAACAAATTCTGGAGTGATGGGAGTATGAAACACACCTGTTTGTATACAGCACAATTTATCCCAGAGGAAAACCACAAAGCAACATTACTCTGCAGCAAAAACAAGTCCAGGAAGTAGGGAGATAAAACTAGCAAAACAAAATTGCTGAAGGATTTGGAAACAGGGCTTTAGAGAAAAATTGTAGGGTTTGGAGAGGTCTTCATTTTTCTCCATGCATTAAGCAGAGCACAGTATCACTCCTTAAGCTACAACAAAAATTTTAAAACCTGTCTTCTATATAAATTTTTAAAGACTCCAGCACTAGTCCAGCACTGACAAGTATAAATAAGGAGTCACTGGGTTACAGCTGTGATGCACTTCATGAGGAAGGAGTTGGTCATCTACACTCCAACATGGTGACACACAAAATCTGGCTGCCCTGGGATTATGGGATTGGCTTTTCTGAAATTGTCCTTGGGTAACAGGAAAAAGCCTGGTGAATTCTGCAATGCAAAGTGAGTAAACTGTTTTGGGTTAGAAAAGGGGCATTTTAGGCGGCCTCCGCCAGGAAGAGGGCAGGTCACCTTCTCACAGAAGATGACAGACCAAGTGCTAAAGGCGAACAGTAGTTAGTATCTGAAAACTGGTCGGTTATCGTCATAGTCTTCAAGGGAAAATCTGATTCTACCGGGGTTTTCCATGTCATCAGTGGACTCAAATTTAAGAAGTTTCCAGTTCACTTCTAGAAGTACTGATGATTTTATATAGATAGATATCAAAGTACAGGGATCAGAAAGAAACCAACTCCACTCTTTTCCTTCCAACCCTCCTTCATGTGGGGCTTGACTACTTTTCCTGCCCCTTTCACTTGAGCCTGTGTCCTCATACTTCTTCAATACTGTTTCCTTTCTTCTCCCTCATAGATCAGATCCTTAACTGACCTTTCTGTGACTAACATTCATACTCTTCCAAGCTTTCTTTCCTTCTTTCTAATCTTTCTACCTTAAAAAACAAAAAGAGGTCATTCGTTGGCTTAGATCATTAAAGCCAAGCAAGTAACAAATGCTAGTCTTTTTCTATGGTAGCCATGTTAAGAATAGTCAAATATGGCATCAAGTGTCTCTACCCTCCGTCACACATCTCTTCTCGCAGAACTGAGTTGGTGCTGATTGTGTTTCAGTTCTGTCCAGTTCTCCCTGGCGACCTTCTCTCCCTTGATTAGCTCCGTGGCACTGAAGGCTAAGGAAAAAAGGGAGCAGGTGGGTCCAGAAGGGGATACTGACCTAGGAGACAGGCTGGTATTTTTTACTTTTAGACAAGTAAGAAATGAAAAAGCATTCATGACTGTTCTTTTTGCAAAACTCTCCCTTCAGGTTCGAACTTGGAACTTTCCAGCTTTGGTCATGTATTTTATGCCCTTAAAGGGTTTGTACTTTTCTCCATACATATCCAGACGATTCACCTTGAGTCCTGGAAGGAAGGAAGATAGGCATTATTCAAAAAGGAGCATGTAGCATGTTATGTTTAAATCCATTTTAATTCAGAGGGATCAGTGGGATAGAGACAGTTGTAACAATGAACCAGAAAAATAATAATAATTGTCCCTTATTTATTTCACTTTCCTAAAGCTCACAGGTTTTTGACTCTTGGTCCATACACCAATAATAAAAACTGCTCCAACATAAAGCTATCCTACTGGAAGACCTATTTGTAAAGTGGCAAGGGCAGAAAGTTACATGCAGACTGATATGAGGATAAGGAAAGAATAAGACCCTTCTATGTTTTTCTCAAGTTATTGGATGGAATACATGAATAAATAATAAAATTAATGAATGAAATAAAATATAACTTAATGATGAATGCTTCCTAAGTATTCTCACTGTACTAATAAACAAAACACATTTTATACTGTATAGGGCTTTAAAATTTGTGAAGTGTTTTAAGATGAAAGAGTTTATAATTGAAGTGAACGTTAACCACTTAAATTAGACAAGTTCTGTTGATAAAGAAAAATAGGAACTTTATATAAAGCTGAAGTCATCTCCTATCTACCTTATACAGTTGTTCTAAGGATTAAATAATAACATAGATGGAAAGAGCTTAAAACAGTGCCTGGCACATAGTAAATGCCTGGTAGGCAGTAACTATCATCATCACCAGCCTGAGACAGGTGCAGACCTCAGCGGGCTGATGTGGGTTCCACATGGTAATAAAAGCAAATATGAAAGTCCCTCTGAATCTGGGGGAAAGGAGGGGAAATTATTCTTCTCAGTTACCAGCTGAGAACGCAGAAGCCTTCCCATCCTGAAAACCTTGGGACCCCAAACTGACAACCCCAGTATGACTCAACACCTGCTTGCCAACACTCCATCTACCCACACTATTTCCTTCTCAACTGTGTCTTATATATTGGCAGTCAAATCACTTCAGCCAACTTCAAAGTAAGGATGATGAACTTTCCCCAGAAATGCTAGAGAAGATTTTACTCAAGATTACCTATCAGGTAATGAAACCAAACTCCATAAATAGGGAACCAGCAGAAGGCATTCTGAGATCTATGTCCTACTGGAGAGAGCCACTTCTGTTCTCATGAAGCCACCTAAGTCGTGAGTCACTCACCAGAAATGGCCAGCTGCTGGATCTTAAACTGCAGATTAATTGTGGGGTTCTCATCTGGCTTGGAAGCTCCAGCCTGAAGACTCATGGTCCCCTTCAAACTTGGTAGCTTTTGGGGATTTATTTTTCCTACATCCCACGACAGCATCTTTAAAGAAAAAGAAAGAAGTTGCAGTGGAACCCTTCATCTGAGGTGGTTGAGCTCTAACCTCAGGGCATCTGTTCACAGTATTACAAGCTGCCTCTAAAGTGGTTTTCAATAGAGAAAACTATTTGTCCCCATAAATTATCTCAAGGAGAAAAAGGATGTCCCTTTGATTAAGCTTCCCTTTCAACAAGGTGTAATGTCTATGTGGAGAGCTCCTGCAGAAATACTTCTATTTAATATCAGCAATTTGAAACCTCCTGCTTATTCTCCTCCTACCTTGGTAACTGGGTCAAATGTATGTGTCCCCTGAGATGGAGTGAGGCTCATATTCAGGACCCCTTTGGGCATCTGGCTGGTGACAATCACTCCCTCTATGGTCTTCCCCATAGTCTGCTTCGGTCCCACTGTTATTTCAAAGCGTCCAAGTGAACTACTGTCCCGGAAACTGATGCTATGTTTGACATACACTGGAATTGCCACCAGACTGGAAAAGAGAGACAAAAAACCCATTTCATTACTATACTGGAAAAATGGCAACATTTTCTTCTTTTATACTTTTTTTTTTTTTGCCCCATTGACAGCTTTTCCTTCCTTACCTACTTCTTTACTCCTTATATTAAAAAAAAAAAAAAAAAAAGGCACAGGAAAAAAACCCAGTAATCTTTAATTTTTTTCTTTTTGTAAAGCTAAGACGCTGTCTAGTTAGTGAACTAACTCTTCCAATGACTCTGAATAATATTAACAAAAACCAAAGGGTATACTAAGCCTACTATAAGAAAGGCATTAGAGATAAAAATTAGGAGTCACCATATCTCTGTGTTTTACTTTATGACATATGACCGATAATTATTTGTACTTGGGAGAGTACTATTCATACCTCATGGACCTTTTATAATATCTTGGGAGTGCTTTTACCGGACTTCCTCTGATCCTCATGAAATCTGATGAGGTACGTATGGTAGGTTGTCATGATAGGACAGAACAGGAAATAGAGAAATCACAGAGTAATACCAAAGCAATAATAGTGCTTAATATCTATTAAACACTCCTGTATGCCAGTACTATGCTAGATGTTCTTTCTCCATTATCTTGTTTAATCCTCCCATTAAGTATGAAGTAGGTACTGCTCCTGTCCTGATTTTATAAATAATGATGTCCTTTTACTTCACTAAGATTAAATAACCTGTCCAAGGTCATATATCATAAGTACTGAAGATGGGGTTTAAATGTAGGCAGTCTGAGCCCAGAGCCTTTGCTCTCAGGCACGCAGATATTTTCCTAAATTATTTATTCCAAACCCCACAGGGAAGTATTGGTGGATCTGAGGTGTCATGGCTCTCTTCGGTCTGTATTCCTTCTACTACACACCTTATACTAAGGGCTTCTCAAGTCCTTTGAAGAGATATTAAAGAGAATGTTCAAGACCAAAAATGACTGCCTTTTATGATTTTTCATAGCATAGTTTAATGCTTTTTTGGGTCACGGGGATTGAATACAGGTGTACTCGGATTCCAATTTGAGGAAAAGTGTTCTTGTTTAGACATACAGTAACAAAAACAGCAGCAGCAAACTTAAATGAGCACCAGCTTTGTGTTAAGCACTATTTAGACTGTTTTATTTAATCTTCAAACAAGGCCCATTTTTTTGTTTTCCGCTTACAGATAAGAAAACAGACACAGGAAGGTTAAACAACTCACCTGAGGTTACCCGATTAGTAAGCACAGAAACTGGAATGTGAACGCAGGTAACTCTAGAGCCTGAGTCCTTAATCACTATGGATACTGTTTCCACATATACACACATGATTCTATTCTTAATTATAAGGGCTGCTTACTTCTGTGCACTGACATGGTAAGAGAGCAGGCGAAAGTTTCCATCAGGAGGGATGAAGGAGAGGATACGCTCAGATTCCCAGCGCTTGAAACGAACACAAGGATGGAAGCTGACATCATCCAACAACCTGGGATTCTGTAGTCACCAGGCAAGGAAAAGCAATTAGTAGGAATTAAACACCCATATTGCTTTTGGGAAACTCATTCAGATGCTATCTTTATTTAAATGTGCGCGCACACCCACACACACAAATTCTGTATCTACTTATAGAAAATTCAAGCCTGATACAAGCTTTGTGGCTGTCCTTAATTATTTTTTCTTTCTTTTTTTTTTTAAGTAGGCTCCACACCCAGCGTGGAACCCAGTGTGGGGCTTAAACTCACGACCCTGAGATCAAGACCTCAGCTGAGATCGAGAGTTGGACGCTTAACTGATTAACCACCCAGGCACCCCTGTCCTTAATTATTTACTGTTCCATTCCATTCTCACCACTGTCTTTGCAGAAGCAATTAATTTGCCATCCCGAGATCTGAACCTGTGGTTTAGGATTTTACCATGAAGGAAAGCGTAAGGTCTGGCATTCCAGTCAGCTTGACGCAGGCATCAATGACCCCCTGGATCTCAGCAGTAATTGTGGAACCTGAGATAGGAACAAGGCAAAAAAGACAGTAAGAGGTTATTCAACACTTCTGTCTTTCCCAACCAACTTATTTCCTCCCTACCACCTTAATCTTCTCTTTTCTTCCCCAACTTTTGTCTTCTCCCTCCCTCCCTCCCTTCCTTCTGTCCATCTATTCAATTCATCTACCCAATGCATTGGTCCATCCTTCTAAACATTTATCAACTGCATATCAAATATGAGACACTATGATGAAGCAATGGGAATAAAAGATTAATGAGACAGTTATTAGCTTAAAGAAGTTTTCCATCTAGTACCAGAATCAAACAGGGTACCATCGTAACCAATGGTTCAGAAAACTTCACAGCAGAAACTGCTCTCCCTACGGTCACCAATGAATCAAATGGACACTTTTCATCTTTATCCTATAGAAGTTCTCTGTAGCATGTCATTGTCGACCACTTCTCCCTTTGTAAAACCCTCCTTTCTCCTAACTTCACCTGGTTTTCTATTTCTCTAGCTCCACTTCCTGAGTGCTTTCTGTGGGTTTCCCTTTCTTTGCACAGCTTTCAAATGCCCATGCTTTTTCACAATTCTGAACTTCTCTTTCCTTTCACTCAACACCGTCTCCTTGAGCTTCTCCCACAGGTTGCCTTTTCACTGTGTTGACTGTTTTTTTTGTGCAGAAACTTTTTAGTATGATGCAATCCTAACTGTCTATTTCTGCTTTTGGTGTCATATCCAAAAAAGCCATTATCCAGACCAGTGTCAAGAAGCATTTTCCCTGTGTCTTCTTCTAGCAGTGTTATGATTTCACATTTTACATTTAAGTCTTTAATCCATTTTGAGTTTTGTTTTTTGTATTTTTTTGGTGTGAGATAAGAGTCCAATTTTATTCTTCCACATGTGGAAATTCTGTTTCCCCAGCATCATTTAATGAAGAGAGTATCCTTCCCCCACGGTATAATCTTGGTTCTCTTGTCAAAGATCAGTTGACTGTAAATGCGTGGTTTTATTTCTGAACTCTCTATTCTATTTCATTGGCCTATGTGTCTGTTTTTATGTCAGTGTAATAATTTTGATTACTGTAGCTTTGTTTTTTTTTTTTTTGAACAAGATTACTGTAGCTTTGTAATATATTTTGAAATCAGGAAGTATGAAGTCTCCAGCTTTGTTGTTCTTGCTCAAGATTGCTTTGGCTATTTGGGGTCTTTTGTGGTTCCATATGAATTTTAGCATTGTTTTTTCTATTTCTGTAAAGAGTGCCATTGGGATTTTGATGGGGATTACACTGAATCTATAGATTGCTTTGGGTAATATGGACTTTTTAAAAAATTTAAAAATTTTTTTATTTTTGTTTAAAAGGAAGGGAGAAGGAGGGGCAGAGGGAGAGAGAGAGAATCTTTTTTTTAAAAGATTTATTTATTTGAGAGCGAGCATGAGCGCGGGGGGGGAGAGGGGCAAAAGGAGAGGGAGAAGCAGACTCCCTGCTGAGGAGGGAGCCTGACGTGGGGCTCGATCCCAGGACCCTGAGATCATGACCTGAGCTGACGGCAGACGCTTAATCGACTGAACCACTCAGGTGCCTCTGAACATTTTAGTAATATTAATTCTTCCACTCCATGAACACAGGATGCCTTTCCATTTATTTGTGTCTTCTTTAATTTCCTTCATCAGTGTTTTATAATTTTCTGAGTACGAGTTTGGTTAAGTTTATTCCTAACTATTTTATTCTTTTTGGTGCTTTTGTAAATGGGACTGTTTTCTTAATTTTCTTTTAGCATAGTTCATTGTTTGTATTTAGAATGCTACTGTTTTTTATGTTGATTGTATACCTTGCAACTTTACAGAATTTGTTTATTAGTTCTTTTTTTTTTTTTTTTTTAAATGTTTTATTTATTTATTCATGAAAGTCAGAGAGAGAGAGAGAGAGGCAGAGGCAGAGGGAGAAGCAGGCTCCCTGCGGAGCAGGGAGCCCGATGTGGGACTCGATCCCAGGACCCTGGGATCATGACCCGAGCCGAAGGCAGATGCCTAACCATCTGAGCCACCCAGGCGCCCCGGTTTATTAGTTCTAACAGTTTTCTGTTGAGTCTTTAGGGGCCCCTACAAATATGATCATGTCATCTGCATCATAATATTTAAGTCTATTCCCAGTACCTAGCACAGTGCTTGACACAAAGTAGGCACAAAATTAAAATGAATGATCTTGAATGGGGGATAATTCTGATACTAGCAAGCACTGTATGAAGGAGACTCTTTCTACTTTCTAGTTCTGAAAACAGATTAAAAGCACTTACCTGATTTATCAATGATAGCATCAATCTCTTCGATCACATCAAAATAGGCCTCATTGTTGGTATACTTCACCCCAGTTCTTCGCCAGGGCACCACTGACAGCTGTCCAGTAGGAAGCTGGTCCCCCACATTGGTGCTTCCTAGATAATGAATATGACTGTAATTCCAATTGGATAATTAGATGTAACCAATTATCTAATAATCATAGAACACTTCCCTAGAAGTTTCTATGTTCCTATTATTCATGCACTCAATTGGAGAATAAAAAAAAAAAAAAAACATAAGAGTTGTCTCAACTTCTGTCTGGGTAACATAGTCTATTCTAAAAACTTGTTGCCATCTGGTCTGCTTCTTTGAGCAGAATAAAGGTTAAAAAGTTACCTGAGAAACAGATATCATATTTTGGTTTTGAAAGAAACTTGAACTTGTCTCTCAAATTTCACAATAGCTTGTAGCTTAAATAATGTACTGGCTTTCAGCAGGGATGGTGATTTACATAATATAAAATTTTCATGGGTAAAAACAATATTCTAGTTCAAGGTAGGTTCTTAAGTACATTTATGTTATTAAAATGCACACATTTTACTACTACTAATACTGAATCTTAGGAAAAGAATACAAATTAGGTCTTTCCCTGTCTATAAGAGTTGTAAATCAATTCCGTTTCCCACCCCCGACAAGAATCAAAAATATTTTTTAATCCAAAAGTTCTATGCTGTAATTCTGAAATATTATAACTAATTTAAAATCTACTTCCTTCTTTTGTAACCTGGATGTTTTTAACCTAAAGAAAGAAACATTAAACACACACATATATTCAGGATGTTTGCAAAACAGTTCAGCTTTTCAAAAATGACTCTCAGGTACCTTTTTCTAGATTTAAGAGAGATTCAGAAAAATGACTCCATAGTATTCATAAATGATTCAGGCACTAACAAAGAGCTTAAGAGTTAAATGAACCCAGAATATTGAAAAACCCAACCAATGTGTTTTCTTAAAAAGAGGCACCACATATTAAAACATGTCATCAAGCTATAATAATTGAAGAAGTTTGATAAGGCAGGAAGCCTAAAAACAAAGAATCCACAGTGGCTTAGTACATGACAAAAATATTTTAAAACAGGGAAAATGGTTATTTAACAAATGGCGCTAGGAAAGCTGGTAGACAATTTTGGAGAAATAAACATGGAGCCTTACTTTACATTGTATACCAAGATAATTTCCAAATGGATTAAAGAATTAAGTACAAAATGAAACCATAAAAGAACTAGAAAAAAATACACTTTTTAAAAAAGAAGACCTTCCCTTCTCTGAGATCAAAAAGACATTCCCCTATGTTTTCTTCTAACAATTATAAGGTTTGTATTTAACTTTGTATTTAACTTTGACCTTGCTAGAATTTATTTTGTGTACAGAATGGGTAGAGGGACTTCATTTTGTTCTTACCAAAGCTGATTGTCCTAATACAATATGTTACCCTGGCCCCCTGGCCCACTGATTTGATATATGATCTATGTATATCAAATTTCTACAAAAGCAAGGGTCTGTTTCTGAACTTTCTTTTTCTTTTTTTTAAGATTTTACTTATTTATTTGACAGAGGGGGGAGAGAGCACAGCAGAGGGAGAGGGAGAAGCAGACTCCCGATGCTGAGCAGGGAGCCCAATGCGGGACTCTGTCCCAGGACCCTGGAATCATGACCTGAGCCAAAGGCAGACACTTAACCAACTAAGCCACCCAGGCGCCCTGTTTCTGAACTTTCTACCTTATCTCAATCATCTATTTGTCTATTACTGGGCCAATACTACGTTTTAAAAATTATATATATGATGTATCTTGTATCTATCCGATGGGACATATTTTCTCTCCGTTCTCGATCTTTTTAAAAAATATTTACTTTGGGGGCGTCTGGATCAGTTAAGCATCTGCCTTCAGCTCAGGTCATGATCTCAGGGTCCTGGGATCAAGTCCCATATCAGGCTCTCTGCTCAGTGGGGAGCCTGCTTCTTGCGCTCCCTCTGCTGCTCCCCTTGCTTGTGCTCGCTGTCTGTCAAATGAATAAATAAAATCTTTAAAAAAATGAAATAAAATAAAAAATATATACTTATTTTCAAAACTGTCTTGGCTTTTAGAGCTTATCTATGAGTTTTTGTCTCCTGTACCATATGAACTTAATACAGCTTGATATTTGACAAGACAAATCTGTCCAGCGGCTTTGTAATTCTTTTTCAAAATATTCCCAGGTATTCTTGCATATTCATACTTCTTAAAAATTATCTTTCAATCAGTTTGTCAAATGCCGTGCAACCCTTGTTTATATATTAAGCAAGAGCCAAAATGCCATGCAAACCCTTGTTTATATATTAAGAGCCAAAATATAAAAGCTGAATGAAGCAGAATGATTAATATGATTAAATCAGAATTAAATGTGGCTAAACACACTGTAAACAATGCTAAATGACAAGTCTCACATAGACTGTGAAAAAATATCTGTAACAGAGGATCAAAAATATACAGAACTACAAACTACCATGTATATTTCCAGTATTTCCAACATACATGATAGTTTAATGTCCTTAAATAAAAGGAATTCTTTTTCCTTTTTTTTTTTTTTTTAAGTAGGCTCCACACCCAGCATGGAGCCCAACTTGGAACTTGAACTCACAACCCTGAGATCAAGACCTGAGCTGAGATCAAGAGTCAGACGCTTAACTGACTAAGCCACCCAAGTGTCCCGAAAGGAATTCTTTTAAATTAGTATGAAAAAAGAAACACATTTCAACAACAAAAGAAAAACTGGGCAAAGGACACACAACTAGGTAATTCACAATAGAGGAAGAATAGTCAATGAATACTCGAAGGGTTTTAACTTCCTTAGTAATAAAAAATGAGGATATACATAAGATAAGACTAAACTGGGGCGCCTGGGTGGCTCATTAAGCGTCTGCCTTTGGCTCAGGTCATGATCCCAGGGTCCTAGGATCAAGCCCTGCATTGGGCTCCCTGCTCAGTGGGAAGCCTGCTTCTCCCTCTCCAGCTCCCCCTGCTTGTGTGCTCGCTCGCGCTCTCTCATGCTCTCTGTCAAATAAGTAAGTAAAATCTTAAAAAAAAAAAAAAAGATATGACTAAACTATTAAATTGCCAAAGTTTTGAAACAATTAATAATTATAGTAGGGTTGGCTAGGATGCATAGAAACTGCTACTGAAAGTATAAATTTTCTGAAGGGCAATTTGGCACAATGCATTAAAGTTCTTAAAATGAGCACGCCCTTTGATCTAGTACTTCCATTGCTAGTACTGAAAAGAAATCATCCTACATGTACACAAAGATTTAAGTATAAGAATGTTAATTCCTTGTTATTTAAAAGAACAAAAAATCAGAAACATCAAAAACACGGACTGAGTAAATAACTTAAGGTCTATTCCATATGGAAGAAAATTATAAAGTCACTAAAAATCATGTAGAAGAAAATGTATCATAAGGGGATAATGTTCACAAAATATTGATGAAAGTTATAAAAAAATATACAAGAGTTGTTTTTTCAAAATTCTATGCATCTATTCATTATTCATCTGTCTAGAAAAGACAAAAAGTATGTCAAAACTGTGGCAGGATTAAGAGTTATTTTTGGGACGCCTGGGTGGCTCCGTCAGTTAAGTGTCTGCCTTCGGCTTGGGTGGTGATCCCAAGGTCCCAGGATTGAGCCCCACATCGGGCTCCCTGCTCAGCGGGGAGCCTGCTTCTCCCTCTGCCTGTCCCTTCCGCCTGCTTGTGTCCCCTCTCTCGCTGACAAATAAGTAAAATCTTTTTTTAAAAAAGGTATTTTCAAGTTCTTTGTGCTTTTCTGTATCTCTGACATTCCTATAATAATCAAGTGTTTCTTCTGTAATCAGAAAAAAAACCTCTTTTTAAAGGAGCACACTTTATTCTGTCATTGAAATCAGGGTATTTTCTACATAACAAAGACATATTTCAGGTCATAATCAAAGACTATAATGAGCAAAATTAAAGCACCTGGACATCTGAGAGCCCCAAAGACAAGCACTCAAAACAATGCACAACGAGGGAGGAAGCCACATCCAGGACAGCAGCTCTTTGTGGGTTTCCCCTTTCTCCATACCTGTTATGGTGTTGACGACCGTTCGAAGGATAGTGGGAGGCTTTATCAGTTCTTTGAGGATGTTTGACTCGGTAGCCAATGGAAACCCATTGTCAAGCATCTCTTCTAGTACCTCATAAACCACAACCACATTGTCTTTGATCACAGGCTCTGAACAGACTCCAAAATAATCCTGATGAAAACACAATATATACAATGTAGATCATTCAGAGACTGTAATAAAGAGAATCTTCCTAAGGAATAAGGATCTAGGCCTGTCCATGTGTTTACACAGTGCTTCTGGGATATTCTTCTACAATAAGGGAATGAAGCATAACCACAGTTCTCTTAAGCGGAGGCAGAAAGAACACTGGACTGGCTTATAGTACTAGTGTCATTACTAACTTCTTTTATAAATTAAGAGAAAGTTATTTAACTTTTTTGGGTTAGTTTCTTCAACTAGACAAAACTGAATCTAGACTATCATACATGCTTAGGAACAAGAATTTGAAAGAACTATGCAAAATAATAATACTTGATATGACACAGATTGGACCCAAAAATCTTTTTAACTCTTTCTGTTGTGCTATTCCTTAACATTCATGCAGCAAATACGAACTGAGAGGGAAATAAAATGAAATGAGGGAGATGAACTAGCGCACCAGAAAATCTCTTTGGATCATCTTTACACTAAGATGCTAGGATTCTAAGGCTTTGTCCTTTTACTAATAAAGACTGAGATACTAAATGATCCACGTTGTGGAAAAAATACTGGATTCCAAATCAGAAGACCTGGGTGGTAACCTTATTGTCACTAGAAAAGTCATGCTAATTCGGGTTTTGATTTTTCTTTTAATAGTATAATTAGGATAATACCACTGGATGCACAGGGATGTTTTAAGAACTAAGCATGACTGATTAAATGATAGTATGTGTGAAAGTGCTTTGTAAACAAAAGGTACTTTATAAAATGTGATGCATGATGATTAAAAGAAAGAAATGCTTGTGGTCATTTGATATGCCCCTTCTAGCAACGTCAGTCACATCTTTTGCAGGACCTCTGAGATGGTCATACAACCCTCGTTGAATTCATCCACTGAAGGGAAATTCACCCTTTTGAGAAAGCCCATTCTATTCATGGAAAGCTCTGATTATTAGAAAGTTCTTTCTTTTGCTAGACTGAAATTTGCTTCCTAGATCTGCCTTACAGAACAAATTTACATAACAGCCCCGCAGTTATTTGAAGACAGCTGTAAGCTTTCACTTCCATTTTTTTCTCCCACCCAAACTGTTTGATCCTTCCACTGTTCATGCTGTGGTATGGTTTCTAGATTGTTCCACAACCTTGCCATTTCTTTGAATATGCTCTAGTTTCCCAATATGCTCCTAAAATCATGACATCCATAACTGAACAGACTACAGCTGTGATCTAAATTACATCAGATAATGGCAAATATCAGAGACATTCCAATATCCAAGAACACTTAAGAGTCAGGAATGTGTTTCTAAAACAAGATTTCTTCTTTAAAAACAAGGATTTAAGGGGGGAAAAAAACAACACATTTCCTTCCCAAGAGTGCTTTTCTTTTGAAAAATAAATAAGACACCTCACGAGATTTTATAAATCAGACATAATGTGAACTGAGTCACTGGAAAGAATATAAGTATGACAAATTGCTATAGCAAAAGCATTTGCAATTCTACAGCTGGAACTCTTCCATCATATTCCAGTACTAAAAAAATAAAGCAGCCAGAGAGAAGACATTAAAATCAGGGTATGTCCATTTGCTTTTAACAAATCCTTCAAAAATGACAAGCTCTGAAGTCCCAGACTTCCAAACTAGTTACTTGACTGTTATCCCAAATTCCTCTGTGGTTTCCACTAGATTAAGCAACCTTTCTCACTTCCTGTCTTGTAATAAATTACCTAATATTGCTATGGGGGTATGAAGCAAATGCTGGGTTTCACCAATGGGACTGCTAATCTTAGAATGGGGTAAAGTATCATATGTGGAAATCATAATAAGGCCCAACAAGAGTAGTTTGAGGTCATAATACTGGGTTCTTCTACTTCTAGTTCCTCCACATACTGGGATTTATAATTCCCAAGTTTTTACTGTGGGAAGCAACTGGTATGCCACATGAGAACTGGAAACCCAGAATCGTGCTACCAGCAAGTATTGGTGGGAAAAAAATTATGAAATATATGCTGTTCTAGACATGTGATACAGATATGACTACAAATAAAAGGGCTCTTTGACTTGTTTTTTAATTTCATTGTCATATCGGAGTCATTCTCTTCTCTAATTCCACAATTTCTGTATTCATATGACCAATTCCAGACTTCACATGACACAGAAGTTAAACCAAAGGGCCCTTGCTTCTCACTTACTGAGTTATGCAAATAACTGTAACAAAATTTGAGCAATTCTTTTAGGGGGAAGGATCCCACTGTTTGAATTCAGAGTCTGGGCAGCCTAAAATCCTCTGCTATAAATGGTGCTGACATTCTGGTATAACTTACTTATACTTCCCCTATACCCTGCTCCAAGATCTTCAAATCTATTCCTGAAAGAAAAACTCAAAGTGAAAACCGTGTCTTGTAAAATGTGTCACTTAAATTCTTTACAGGAACAGAAGATTTTCCAATCTTGTTTGCAACAAGAGTTCATCACTGACACGCTGTGGTAAGCACCCCAAACCCAAGATGAAGTTTGGGTTCACAAATTACTCCTGCCAAGGACAGTGAAACAAGCATTACTTAGCTTTCTCCTAACTTTTGAAAATATACGTATCTTTACACACTCATCACTTTTTGAGGCAACTCAAAGCAACGTAGTTGACAATGGCTAGCATCAAGTCCACTAAAACAAAACAAAACAAAACCCCCAAATTAATTTCCTCTGATTTATGAACAAAAAGTAGGGCAATTCCAATTTCCAGAACTAAAATGACGGTATACAATCATTCCAAGTAGAGTGGCTTTCTTATGCAACAGGTTCAAAGGTATTCAATTTGTCATTTCAGATGCAGCCAATTCAATAAACAGAAACAAGAATCTTATCAGATGGGAGAGGAAGTGAGCAATGTCAGTTTTGATTTTTTAAAAAGTTCCTTAATTAAAGCTGAATACAATGGGAAAAGAACCATAAAGACACTTTATAATTTACATGTACGAGCCTCCTCACATTCACGCACCTGAAATGTGTCCACTACTCGGTGAAGGAACTCAATAACAAATAGAGGTGGGACCTCTGTCTGGATCACAGCCACAAAAAAGATCTTGTGACGGTAAACACTTAAGAGATAGTGGTGAGGGGTAGGGATAACTGGAGGTACATTTTCTGCCTCAGTCGCTCTCTCTTGCGCCTCAAAAAAGTAATCACAAACAGAACGGCTGACCACACTTTTCCAATGTTTTTCCAGGAAAATATCTCCTGAGGAGTTGATCAAGAAGAGGCTATGAATCATGGTGGAGATTGTCAGTGAGAGAGGAAAGTCTTCTTTGGTCTGAAAGCCTCAGAACTGCCAATTTTCAACCCTAAAAATAAAAGAAGGCATGGTCAATTCCACTCAATCAAAACACTGTACCCATCCTTCAAGAGCAGACTCAAGTCCTCCTCTACTGTGAGAATCTGAAGTATCCCTCCCTAGAATTCCTAAGGATAATTATCAGCCATCCTGTTTGCCAATCATCTACTGCCTGGTTATCTTTACTATTGCCTTAATTATACCATTTAAAATTCTACTTAATTTTTGGATGTCTGTTTTCTCAACTGGACTGGAAGCTCCTTGAGAAAAAAGACCAGGCCTTACCGTTTCTTGTTGCCTCATTGCAGTGCGCCCCACACAGATGAGAGTTTCGAAAGAATATTGATGAGTTTCATGTATTTAGCCACAACTCACACATACATAAGAAATGCTTATGGTTGTCCAGTCTCATATGGCAGCCATTAGCTAAATGCCATCATTAAGCACTTGAAATGTGTCTGGGCTGAACTGAGATGTGCTGTAAGTATAAGTACACACCAGACTTTGAAGGTCTTGTATTCAAAATGGAATTTTAGATACCCATAATTTAATAGATTAATTAATATTAACTTAATATTGATATTTTGATACATCAGGTTAAATAAAATATACTAAAATTAATTTAACCTTGTTTGTTTTTGTTTAAAGATTTTATTTATTTATTTGACAGAGAGAGAGCACAAGCGGGGAGCCGCAGGCAGTGGGAGAAGCAGGCTCCCTGCTAAGCAAGGAGCCCTATGTGGGACTCAATCTCAGGACCCTGGTATCATGACCTGAGCTGAAGCAGATGCTTAACTCACTGAGCCATCCAGGCGCCCCTAATTTAACCTTTTTAAAAAATGTGGTTACTAGAAAACCGTAAAATTACATATCTGGTTCGCTTTATGTATCTATTGGACAGTGCTGGTCCACGGATGGAAAGCCATCACTGTGGTCTTCATTCAGTCAGTCAGACCCCATTCTCTGAGTACTTGTTATGAACAAGGTTCTGCATTGACTGCCCTAAAAAAATCTCTCTGGGGGATACCCAAGGTCTCTCAGGCAGCAGCATCTCTACGGTGCTTGTCCCCAGTATGTGGCGCCCGCGCTGGACCCCAGCTGTGGGGAATGACCCCATTCCACGAGTTGGCTGCGAACTGGCCCTGGTGGTCAAACCGCAAAGGCCTGTCGTACCAAGTGCCCCAGGGCAAGCTTAATCCCTCTGTCCGCGGACGAGGCAGCTGGAGGGAGGGGAAGAGGTGGGTAACCAGGCTGGGGAGGAGGAGAGGCGGCTGCTAAAGTAGGTTATTTTTGCGCTGGTCCCAGCCCAGCTGCCTGCGAGCAAAAGATGATGGAGGCCATTTAGGGCGGGGGTGGTCGGGGGGAGGGGGCATTTAAGGTGTGCGCAGGTTCAAGCGATGAAAAAGGTCGCCAGACTGCACACGTGCGTTGCCGTGGCAACAGAGTCCCCTCCTCCCTCAACCAGCTGGACGGAGCGGGCCACCTCCCCAGCCCGGTACTCGGTCCCTCAGCTCTCCCCGCCGCATCCTGTATCTCGGGAGGGTCAATCCCACGGCAACCCGTAACTCTGAACCTGCCCCGCGCGTCCGGCCCGGCCCCTCGCGCGTCCCAGTCCCCAACCCCCAGACCCCAGCCGGGTGCGTGCACGCGCTGCCCCCAACCCGGACCCAGCCAGGACCCAACCTGGAGGTCGCCAGCCCTCCTCACCCAGCCTCGCTCCTCGCAGCACCCACCGTTCCGACGCGCAGGCAGACCCCGCCCCCCGGCCGTCCCCCGCACGCGCGCCGGCGGCCGCTCACCTGCTGATTGGCTGCCCCGTGGGCCTCACGCCAGCACCGCCCACGACCGAGATCTTAAAGCCTCTGATTGGACGTCAGTAATCCGCTTCTCCCCCTCTGATTGATCGCTGTCCGCCAGTCACATTCTTCTCGGCTTTGAGTCCCCAATTGGCCCTTGTTGAGGCTTCGGTAATCTCCAATTGGTGCAGTTCTGTGGCTCCGAGCCCTGATTGGCTGTCGTGAACAATCTGAGGGCCGCCTGGCCCTTAGTCATCCAGTCACAAAGGGGTGGCTGCTGCTGCCACCTGCATAACCCTGAATGTACCTCGAGGGGGATGCTAAAAAGTGTGATTTCCAGGGCACGATTTGTCAAATAGCATATCATGGGTAACAAATCTTGAGCAGTAATAACTCCTTTCCATTAGATAAATGCATTTAAAAAGAGACACACTGCCTTTTCATTGATGTGCATCGGGGAAGGTAAAGGTGATTGGCTGTTTAGCGTCTTATCGAGAGCTCTGGACTTGGATTCAGGAGGCCTCTTCCAGCCCCCGCTAGACCACCACCTGCTTGACCTTGGACACGGCACTTAACCTTTCAGAATCTCAGTTCCCAGATCTGAAAATGAGGTAGTTGGGCAGGTCTCTCTGCAAATTGCATTGGAGTTCTAATGACTTTTATAATACATTTTAAGTGATTCAAATCATTGTGATCCAGAGAGTCATGAAGTAGAAGTCAGACAAGGTTCACTTTTAGTTAAACTATAAGATGAGGTATGGGAAGGTGCCTGGCACATCACATGTGTTCGATAAAATGGCAAACTGGTGTTAATGGTATTAATGCTGATCTAGACCACAAGGCTGTCACCCTGCTCGGGCTTTAGTTTTCACTTCCGTGAAAGGAAGCATGAGTGGCAACTCCTCCATAAGGAAGGCCATGATAAACGTATATTAAAGGTGGTATGGATTGTTCTTTGACATACTTGCTAAGGACAGATAGTTGACTAATTTTTAAATAAGCAAAAGAGAAAGTCCAAAATTAAAATGGCTGAATGATGTAGCATCATATAAGCTTAGGGGCTCTGGTGCCAGACTGCCTGCATTTTAATCCTAATCCAACACTTGCCAGCTCTGTGACCTTGAGAAAGTACCTTAACTTCCCTAAATTTCAAGTTCCTCCCTTCTCAAATAAGGGCACTAAGAGTACCGACTGCACAGAGTTGTGAGCATTGAGTTAGAAAAGTGTTAGCGATTGTTATTACCTAAGAAGCAGCACAAGGTGCAATCGCACATGGTTACTAAGCAATGTGTGTCAAAGGTGCAGAAATGCAATCACTGCTGTGGCCCTTTCTCATTCGTTGCATTAATGTTTACTGAGAGTCTCCTATGTATCAAGCCCTGTGCGGGGTGCTGGGGATGCTGCAATGACTACCATCACAGGCATAGTGTCTGTTGTCACAGACGCTAGCTGAGAAGACAAATGAGAAGCAAGTAATTACAAAGCAGTGTGATGAGCAAGGAGCACATGGGGGGGAGGGCAAGGTTTGCTGGTGGAGGGGGCTGACCTAGAGTCAGGGAAGTCCTAAACTGAAACCTGAGAGATGAACGTAAATTCCTCAAATAAAAGGGTGGAAGGACAAAGAGAAGATTACATGTGGAAAGCTCTAAAGATGAGAGAATTAAGCATAGCTGAGTTAGAATTGGAGAAAGAGTGCAGGGGGACTAGAGTAGGAAGATACATGGGAGCCAGGTGGTTGTGAACTTAATAATTGTTTGTATATATTGCTTATAAAATGATATATAGTAATATATACTGTAATTATAGTTACATAATTATAATGTATAATAACAATTATATATACAGAGCATATATATACACATATACACATAAAAACACTGTGTGGCATGCACTGTCCCTTTATTCCATAGATATTTAGTGAGTCCTACTATGTACCATCACTGTTCTGGTGTTTGGATGCACATAACCAGTGAGCATAAAACAAAAATCCTTGCTCTAGTGGAGCTTATATTCTCGTGGAGAAGACAAACAATAATCAATAAATACATAAGTAAAGTATATAGTATGTTAGAGGGTGATAAGTGCAGTGGAAAAAAAACAGAAGGGAGATCCGGAGTGTCATAGAACTGGAGGAAAAGTTATAGTTTGTTTTTAAAAGGGTAGTGAGAGTATGTCTCATTGAGAAAAGACATTTGAGCAAAGACTTGAAGGAGAAGGAGTTAGCTATAGGGATATCTGGGGGAAGAGCATTCCAGTAAAGGGAATAGGCAGCGTAAAGGCCTTAAGACCAGAGCATGCTTGAGGAGTCCCAGGAAGAGTAAGGATTCTACTGGAGTAGAATGAGCAAGGAGTAAAGTAGGAGATGAGGTTACAAAATGGAGGCTGGGGACTTGACTACATAGGATCTTAAAATCTGTCGTAAAGATTTTGGCTTGTAGTGGTTGTGAAATGGGAAGCCAAAGGAGGCTCTGAGAAAGGAGACAAATCATCTGACTTATCAATCTGCTGGCCTGAGAAGAGACTGTGGACAGGCCAGGGTGGAAGGAGACCGGTCAGGAGGTTGCTGAGTAATCTAGGTGAGAGATGATGGGGCTTGGTCCAGGTGTAGGCACAGATGTTGGAATGAGGAGTCAGATTCTGTCTACAGCTTGAAAGAGGAGCCAGCTGGATTTCCAGGTCAATGGGATGTGAGGAATGAGAACAAGAGAAAAGTGAAGGGCAACTGAGCCTGAGCATCTGGAAAGACAGTTCCAGCAACTGAGATTAAAAGGACTTTCCGCAGAGGAAGTTTGAATGAAAAAAATTAGGAGTTCAGCCTTGGACATATTAAATTTAATATAGCTATTAGCCATCAAGTGGCTATGTTGAGAAGGCAGCTGAATATATATGAGTCCAGGCTTTAGGAGACAGGTCTGAGCTGGAGATGCACATTTGGGAGTTACCAGGATATGGATATTAAAGCCATGAGTCCAGTTGAGATGGCTAAGGGAATGAGCATGGAGAAAAGGACCAGAGTCCAGGGGTACTCCAAATTTAAAGGTTCACAGAGGAGAGGAAGATCCAGATTTATATAGTCTTCCCAACTACCCTAGAATGAACTACTGTTATGATCCCCTTTTGATAGATGAGAAAACTGCAGTGAGTGCTTAGGTAACCCGCCAAAGGTCCAGTAAGTAGGTAAGTAACACAGCTGGAGTGTCCAGTAGGTAGGTAAGTAACACAGCTGGAGTTCACGCACACAGCAAGATCTAAGCGGTCTGGTCTGGCACAGACCGCACGCCTCCTGCCTCTCTCAGAAGCCTGGGGCAGGAGACCCAGTGAAGAAATGTTAAGCAGGAGAGTGAAATGCTTTCAGATTTACATTTCAGAGACCAGGCATGGGGAATGGATTGAAGAAGGCCAAGCTTGGGGGTAGGGAGATCATTTAGACTACTGCAGTAATCCACATGAGAGATGCTAGTGACTTCAACCAGCATGGGGGATTGGAGAAGTTAGTGGACAAATTCCAGAGGTCTTTGTTTGGAGGTAGAATGAAGGGGATTAATTAGAAAGTGAGTAGTAAGGAAGAATGAGGAATCCAGGATTATTCGTAGGTTTCTGATTTGGGCAGCTGTATGAATGGAAGTGTCATTTGTTGAGTTGAGGATCACTGGAAGAGAACCACATTGAGGGGAGGGAGAGGTGGCTGAATTTATTCATAGCAATGCCAAGGGTCATGTCCAAAATCAACACTCAAATATTTTTTGAATTTAATCAAACATCATAGAATTTGGGAGCTCATAGGGTATCTTGTCATGGTATTAAGAGGGGCCACAGGAAACCACTGACAAATGGCAAGTCCATTTTATGCATAAAAATCTCTGGGAAAAGATTTTCTAAACCTGCCACTGACAAACCATCCTAGTGTTTAATAGCTCTCACTGCTGAGAAGTTTTTTTTGTTTTTTTTTTTTTAAGATTTTATTCATTTATTTGAGAGAGAGAGAGCACGAGGTGGGGGGTGAGGGCAGAGGGAGAGGGAGAAGCAGACCCCTGGCTGAACAAGGACCCCACCGAGAGGCTCAGTGCGGGGCTCAGTGCTGGGCTCCATCCCAGGGCCCAGAGATCATGACCTGAGTTGAAGGCGGACCCTTAACCAACGGAGCCACCCAGGCGCCCCTGAGAAGTTTTTCTAATGTGAGAAGCCACTCTCAGCTCTCAGGGTTCCCTGAAAATTATTTAAGTATCATTATTATTAATATTCTGGTCTGAGACAAGGGAGGCCTTGCTCACTGAGAGACATTTTTAAGGGCTCCGCAGTGGGGCCACAAAACCCCTCTCTAGCTTTGACACTTCTTCCTCCTATCCATGAATGCTCCCCTTGCATCAAACCTCACTACTGGTCATGCACAGAAGAAACAGAATGCCTTCTCTCCAAGTCTCTGTTCTCACTGATCCCTCTTCTTGGCATGTATTTGTCTCTTACTCATCCTATTTGTGGAAATTCTCTCCAGCCCTCAAGGCCCAGCCATATGTTTTCTCCTCCACGAAGTCTGTCCCAAGCTGGATGCCCCCACACTAGAAGTAATTTCTCCCTCTTCTGTGACTAAATAGCATTTCACAGCTCCTTTATGTAACCTACAGTGCTTTTGACACTGTGCCACACATTCATATATGCAGTCTGATCACCACAACTGGATTGTAAACTCTTTGAGAACCACAGTGTGTATAGCTCAGTGTCTAATATATATTCATCCATCTATTAAACTAACATTTATGGAGTGCCCACTATCTCCTGGACACTAAGGGCACAGAGACCATTAAAGCATGTCTTCAAGGAGCTTATAATCCAATATGGGAAGAAACTCTAAAGAAAAGACAAGGTCCCTTTAAAAAATTAAAAACAGCTCCTTTAAGGCTGGTCATGGAAGGAGTCCATCCTTCTGGAGAGGAGAGCCTAAAGTCAACACCCCTAACCCTCAAACAAGAGACTCACCTTC